CCCACCCTTCAGTCCCCCACTTCCTTGCCATATGCCTATCTGACCTACCCCCCCACCTGGAAGACATGAATGTTAGTTCTCTCAGTTTGAGTACAGGACAAAGAGCTCTCCACTGGTTGGTTTATGTCTGAATTTGCATTATTATAGGTTCATTATCAGTTATATTGTATTTTTCAAGGAAGAAAACAGTCATAAAGTTTGAAGTATATTAGATATTCACAAAACAAAGCAGAAAGGAAAAACAGTGTCAGTATCATCATCTAAAACTTTTGAACATGCCCCCCAAATCCCCTTCAAAATCTCTCCAGTAGTTGACTTTGACCCAAACTTGCTCTAATTAACCTTGCTGCACCTCAAGCACTGGGTTTTCAAGATAAATGAAAATCTATTCCTTGTCCTCACGTACCCTTGACTGAGGACACGTCTGGCCATCATCAGAGGTTGTCCTCCTGGAGCATGTGGCCTTGGAATGTGTCCCCACGGAGCAGGGGCAGGGACATCTGTCCAACCAGCCAGATTGGAGACATCCACCCTGCTGTGGCCAGGCAACAGATGTCCCTGTCAGAGAGCCCTCCTGTCTCCGTTTCATGCCCTTCTGGTAATCAATAGTCAGTATCCAATCAATGAGTGACTTTTTTATTTAGTCAGTTTGATTATTTAGTCAGTTTGATTGTTTCTGTGGTGAAATGTACAATCAATTTTGAAAAAAAAAACTAATAAATGCTTGTTAGGTTCCCAGGTTAGTCTTCCCCTACCTGCCCCCAAATCTTACTTGACCTGCATAATGTTTTTAAAGGACTGCCTGTTCTTTGGCTCCCAGAGACTGGCCTCAGCAGAGTTTTAATGGGAACGTGCCCTTCGAAGTTCAGCCTTGGTTTCCAGGAATAGAACTGCCATTGTTTAGTTTTCGAGAACTCATGATTCCCTCTGTGTGGGACAGAAAGTAGAACTCAGATTTCCCTCCATTCTTTTATCCCTAAAGCTATCTACAGAGTGTTGGAGATTTTCAATGGATCTGTCTTTTTATTCCAATTTATTATGTAGCATTGAGAAGGAAAATGGCTTCTTTCTTTGCACTATCTTTCTGCTTTATTCATTTAGACCAGGAATGATTTAAGCACACACATGCTCTTTAAATACTGAGAGATTCTGTGGGGCGCTAAGTGGAGAGAATGTGGTGTGGTTGATTAGTGATGCCTGCCATGGGCATGGAAGTGGAGGAAAGGTAAATAGGTGCTATGTATTTGTCATTCCTGGTGAAGATCTTGTGAAAAATAAAGTGCACACAAAGACACTACTAGTTTAACAGTTAAGTAGTGTTTACTCTGTGCCAGGCACGGTTCTACGTGCTTTATATGTGTTAACTCGTTTAATTCTCAAAGCAACACATAAGATTGTTACAAGAGAGGAAACTTACACATGAGGAAACTGAGGCACAGAGAGGTTAAATGACTATGCTAGGAAACAGGAGAGATTCCGAGTCAGTCAGTCTTATTCCAGAACCCGTGTCCTTAACTGCTGAAACTGCACCAGTTTTTGTTGGCTAATGCTATGTCTTTGCTCTCCAGGGACTGAGGTAAGACTCAGCTGCAGTTCAGAAGAAAATATGAAATTGAGTTTACAGACACCTGTTATTTTTGGGCCTCAGGCTCTAGAATAAAAGATAAGACGAGGTCCAGGCTGACCTTAGCAGTGAGGAGAGAGTTGCATTTGAATTCCATCTTCCTCCAGTTTAGGTAGCATTTCTAGTCTTTGCACGTCCACCAGCACTGCTGCCTTCTCAGGCGAGACTAGGTGAACGGGAAGTGAAGGGGGTTGGACATGTGAGGGGTGGAACAGAGGAGTGCCTTTGTCTCCGGGCCACATGGCAGGCGAAACCATTTCGAGCGGCCCTTTCTAATGATCCCTTTTGTATGAGGGATACATGTACATACATAAAGAGAGATATACATTTAGTGTGTCAAGTGATATATCTATCATAATGGCTAAAGACAGACTTTTTAGAACTGTTGAGTACCTATGCTGTGTCCCGTGCTGTGCTAGGAGTGTGGGTGTGGTGAACCAAAAGAGACTCGAGCCCTGCCCTCCCTGAGCTTACAGTCCACTCGTCCAGACAGTGACAGGGGCAAGGTGTGGCTCTGGTGAGCCCTGCAGGATGAGGCCATTGGTTCCGAGGGGGCAGATGGCTATCATAGAGGGAATGGAGGATGAGGGGTGGCCAGGGCACGTGGTTTCTTGAAGACTTAGAATTTTGATTTAGCCTCAGTGTAGTGAGGAGCCATGGTGGGGAGCAGGTTGGGAGTTTGTGTCACAGACTCAGAATTATTCTTTCTTTTTGACAGGTAATGTGACTGTGCTGGGAAGAACGAGCTAGAGAGGGGTGTAGAGACACTGGGAGGAGTCCAGGCAAAGAGGCCGTAACAGTTGGGACTGGAGTGGTGTTGGCGGCGAAGGGAGGAAGTGGAAGGACTCTAAAGATGTCTGCAGGGCAACATCACCTAGAGTGGGTGGTGGGTTTGATGTGGGTGGTGAGGAGGAGAGAACGTGCAGGAGAACAGGGGAGGAGGATAGCAGTCCCGTTCCCAGAGGTTAGGGCGCTGGAGGAGGGTCAAGTTCGGAGTGGACGGTCATCATGTCTTGGAGGTGCCTTTGAGCTGACTCAGAGGAGATGTGGAACAGGCTACATTCTTACTGTAAATGTGTGCTAGGTTATAAATAAGGCTTGGGGGACTGTCCTGGGAAATCAAGTACTGGGGAAGAATTTTTTTAAATCTGTAATTTGTTGACTTTTTTAAAAGTCCAAGTGAACATATTTTCATTTAGAAAATAAGGATCTAACAATATCCAAGGAAGTTAATAAAGGCAAACATCTTGTATAATTTCCCTAGTTATTATCATTTTTCATGTTTCTATGACAGTCTTTTACCATAAGCATTCATATCTTAATTAGTTGTCATTATAATCTACATCCAATGTGGAGGGGGATTGTTTTTTCTCACCGTTATCCCAAATGTTCCATCCCGCATTCCTACATATCTCTCAAATACTGCATTCAACATAAGCTGTATAGTAGTCCATGCTTTTAATAAATCATGGATTATACCTTTCTAAGCACCTTCTCTATTTTTGGATATTTAGCTTATTTTAAGATTTCATTATTAGAAATGATAATACTTCTATAAACATTATTATATATATCACATTTTTTCCTCTTGCATTTTTTTCTTAGGTTGTTTAGTGGTTCACAGTGTTTGAAAGGGCTTATAACTCCCAATACGTGTAAAGAAAGATGTTATAGAGCCATGGGCAGGGCTGTGGAGGGCTCACCATAGGACAGAACCAAGGACCGTGACCTCCACATGGGGCATTGTCACGTTTCTTTGGAGTCAGTAACCTTTGGCCCTAACCGTATGAGTCAGTGTTTGACAAGGTCCCATGCCACCTGGGACCTTTCATCTCGCATCTGCCAGTTGCGTCCGTTATGCTTAGAGATGACTGTAAGCCTTGCTCTCTCATTTACCTGGGCTGGCTCCTTCCCTCCTCCCAGGTTTTCTCTCAGGATGGTGCCACAAATACCTGAGAACCAGTGGAAGCCACCGAACTAAAGGGATTGTGTGAACGGCACTGAGCTTTGGAAGCCTTCAGGATCTAAAGGACTGCAGTGCTGTTGCCGAGGCTGTCTAGGGCTCCCCTGGGTTTGGATGTGGTTCTCAAGGCCTTCCCTGCCCCGGTCCCTGCCTGCTCATCTGTCCTTCATTGCCATTGCTTTTCGGCATATCACCTCCGCTGCACCCAGACTACACTCTGTTCCAGACCAGCGCGATGCCTTGGTCATGCCTACTCCTGGCTCTCATTCAAGGTGCTTCCTCGTCCTTTGCCTTTGTAAACCCTGCCTCTCCTTCAGCACTCTACACTAGCTGCGACTCGTCTAGGCTGCTGGCTCCGGTATCCCAACTGCTGTCCCTCTGCTGTGAGCTCTTACAGTCAGTACCTTTAGCACCCATTCCAGGACTTAGCATAAAATTGTAAGTTTTCTGGTAGAGTTGGCTTTTGAAGTTTTTACCCTTCTAGAGGGCAGAGAAAATGTCACACTCTTCCCCCTAGACCCCTCAGAGCCTAGCTTTAGTGCTGAGTCCTTTGCTAGAGTTCAGTGAATCTAATGTGGCCCGTTACATCAAAATATATGTGCTATATGATGCAGTGTCAAAGCATTTCAGCCACTCTTGTTTTATACATTTTCAACATAAATGGCCATATTCAAAAGTCGCTGAGGATAGTATCCAAATACTCATAGATGGACATATTCAGATATTCCCTATCTGGTTACAGTTTGGGAGTTAAGGGATGGGAACAAATTAATGCTGGGAAACCATAGCCTGGTCCCTTTGTGTTTCTAAGTCCTTGACATGCACTAAGGTGGCACAGATGATTGGTGGAGGGGACCAGGGTGGATGAAGGGTAGTAACAAGTACTAGAGTATCTGTCTGTTCTACAAGAAGGTGAGTATCTTTGGTTCCTGGCAACAGTGCTTGTACTGCAGTGAGCAGTGAAATGATGTGTACTTGAAAAATGGGCCCCACTGTGACCCTGCTGTCTTTACGACTCACTTTATTGATTGAGTCAATGTTCTGATCATCGGGAGTCTTCAGGGGAAGCCACCCCAGTTCACCCTGGAACCTGGAGCTTCCCCTGGTCTCAGAGGACAACAGCCTGGCACAGTGGGAACCCTCGGGCCAGGAGTCCGGGGCTTTCGGGCTGGGCTGGCTCGGCCCCAACCCGCAGCGCACTCATTTGTAAAGTGACATGCCCGACTGGCCCATCTCTGGGCTCTTCTGTCACAGATTAAAAGCAAAATAATTGAAACCTCTTCAGAGGTGCCATTTCTAACTAAAGATGAGAAATAGGCTCTTTGACACATTTAATGACATGTGTTAGTCTGTGTGTAGAACTTTACACTTAACTTACATGTCTCTCTCTCTCTCTCTCTTTTATTTTTATAGCCAAACATCATGTCAATGGCAACAGCACAGTCGAGCCTTTCCCAGAGGGAACACAGATGGCTGTATTTGGTAAGACATCAACTCCGAAAGAAAACCCAAATCATGCGCACAGACTCGTGCCAAATTTCTGAGTTGTAGCAAGTGTCCTCGGGGCTTCAAAATCTGGGCTTTTCTAGATATTTACAAATCATCGGAGCAAAAAAAAAACCCAACCCCAAAACCCAACTACCGAGTTCTTAGTATTCCTGGGATCAGAAAAGCTTCTTCTGTACAATTTAATATGTTTTCTTCCCCTCACCTTACAGGCCAAATATCAGACTATGTATTTGCTGTTTCTTATGTCCACCCTGTGAATTAACCTGATAATTTGGGGTTTGGGTTTTTCTTTCTTAGGAGGAATTTTTCCCCCTCCCACATAGATATATAACTTTGTTGAAGGCTGGGTGGGATTGAAGTCATTTTGAGTTGTTATTCCACAAAAATCAATCTAGTTGAATGACCTCTGTCTCCTCCATTATGAACTGAGCATATTCCTTAGGAGAAAACAGCAATTAAAATGTTTTAAGAAGAATAACATCTAACCCCTGAGTGTATGTTTACCACGTGCAATTACGTGGCTGAGCAGCACTTCTCTGTTGGAGTCCAAACCTTTCGGTGGGGAGGTCCTTCCTGATTCATGGTGTCTTAATGTCACCTCAGTGCCCTTGTCCTTCAAAATGTCTCTCCATCTGGCACTTCCTCCCTTCCTCTCTCTCCTTCTTCTTCCCTTCTCTTCCCTGTATCCCCTTTCTGCCCTTTTCTCCTCCCCCTCCCTTCATCCGCTCTCCAACCATGTCACGGGACCCACCCCTTATCACCCTCTCAGGGGTTTCCATCCCTGTCCTCTGTCCTCTGGATTTTCAGCTTTTTGTTCCTTCTGCTTCCGTCCCCTCAGCCCTTAGACAGGCTCTGTGATCTCTCCCGTCCTGAAAGCCCGCAAGTCCCCTGACTTCACTGGTCCTCTGGCTTCCTCCTGCCCTGCTCTTGATGGCAGTTTCCTGCACAGGCTTTTGTTGTATAGCTGCTTTAAGCATTGAAATTTCTTTGTGCTGGAAATTAGCCTCAGGACGACCCATCTCTCAATTAGCATATTCAGGATAGAATGTTTCCTGAATCCCAGAGACCGAACCAGAGTTAGTAAGCAGTGGCGATGAACAGTTGAAGAGTTATGAAGCAGGACAGGCACTTGCCCTGCTTAGGTGTTTGTGAGTCTTGCTCTGTACGGGCTGTCACCTCCTAAAATATACCGGTCAGTGGTTAGGAATTATTATGCTTGGAAATGTCAATGGAGAATTGGATTTTTGCAGAAAGAAGCATAGTGGACACTCTAAAAATGTGTGCCAAATATCTGACTTGTTAACGCCCCTCTGCGGAGTGATGTGCACGTGATGCCATTCTACCTAAGCTGTAGGCCTAGCGAGTGTCTGTCACCAGGGGACAGCAAATGCCACATCAATATTCAAAGGGTTCTTTTGATGACTGTTTTTGTCTTTTAGATTTTTCAACTGGGAGACATGTTAGAAACTAGGCTTCATGTCATACTGAGAAACAGAAAATGAGACTGACCTCTCCCAGCAGGCTTCCCTCCGTCGTTGTGATATTGGAGGAGAACTTTGTTCCTGGAGGGCGGTCCCAGGGCCAGGCAGGCCAATGACGTGTTTGGCCACAGAATTGGCAATAGATGTGAATAAAGCTGTATGATGAGACTGTTATTATTATTACTGTTATTGTCACAGGTTTGGTTTATAATGGCTTTCCCCCAAATCCTAACCCAAGGCCTTTATTGTTTGACCCAGGGAAGCAACTTCCCTCCAAGCCTCAGTGCTTTTACCTGTAGAGGGAGAAGGGCGACGGGCTGCTTTGAGAGCCTTCCCTTTGGTTCCACAGTTTGCACATTCAGGACCAAAGGCTCATCCCGCAGCAGGCAGCCCCGGACAGGCCATGCCCACTGTGAGTGGCCGAGGGGTTAGGTTTTAAAAGAAGCGAATCGTGTGCATAATTTGTACAAGTGCAGAATCGTGCAGATTGTAACATAGAATATCTTTTGACATCTAAGAATTTTTTACATTATTAGAACTGCAGCTTGGCTCTTCCAGATGCTTAAATGAAGACCCCTATTTTGGTCAGGTATACTCAAGCATTTTATTTTAATGTTTTTAAAACTGTTCTCATTTATATTACTTATCTGCCTGGCCTCTATGGAATGAGGGAGCAGTTGGTTTTGGGGGTGGGCTTCTCTCATTCTGGGTTGTTTATAATAGTATGCAGTAGGTCAAACTAAGTATAGCGCTTAGTTCTTTGACATATTTTGGGCTTGTAATCCTCCACACACCTTGAAAGACTGGTAGGATTATGTAATCCCCATCTCAGAGAGGTCACATGACTTACCCCAGGTCACTCAGCCAGTGAGATGGTGGTGCTAGAATTGTAGCCCAAGTCTAGCTGATCCTGAAGTTCGCATTCTTTTTAACGATGTCCCCTGACTCTTGGGACAGGTTGAAGAAGCCCCGGGGAGTCAGGTAGATTCTGAAGTGCCTTTCAGCTAGATCCACGCACAAAAGCGTGATTTCCAGCCAAGCCGGGTTGGCAAGTTGATTTGTGAATTTCTATGCATTCTCAGGGTGCTCTGAAGAACTCTTGAGACACAGCTTTTGCTGGGAAAATACTGCTTGGAGTGGCATCTCCTACTATTCATTTTTCTCATTTGATTTTAGTAGCATGTATTGATGCACAGGAGAATGTCTTACATATACTTGACTGTGAATTCACCAAAGCAACAATAGTACTTTCTGCTTGTCTGAACTCATTCTTTTCTCTTGGAGGTCTTAATATTTCATGCTAAAATTGTATCACTAGTTTCAATTTCATTATCTTTTGGTTAATCATTTGAATGTACCTTACTGTCTAAATAGGAGCTTTTAAATTTAATCCACTCTGAAAGTGGCCATTGAACTGCCATTCGGTATTCATGTTGGAGTGGATAATGGACGGAAGGGGAGAGAGGGAGCCAGGGCCCAGCCTGCTGTGAAGAATACACAGGTGTGTTATTGGATCAAGTGACCAGAGAATATATAGATGGTTCCCTAGTTTCTGGCATATAATCTTCACAGATTATTTTTAAACCAAGATGTTCATCTTTTCAGCTTTTCTTTGCAGCCCATTGATTAGTCCTTTTCTTGTTTTTCCGTGACCACGGTTCTTTGGCCTCTTTGTTGCTCTCGCCACACTTTGGGGCCCTGGTAATGAAGGTAATAGGCTCTGCTCTCCCGTGGGTTTCTCATCATCCGTGTGTGATGCTCCCTTTCAAGTCAGTGGGAGCCCCTTTTTCCCAGGCTGGAGAAGCGGAACCAAACATTTTGCAATTACTTAATGCCTTTGTTCCTGGTAGCCGAGAGGGCCCTATGGCCAGCATCCCTTTAATCCTACACCAGGCCTGTGAAGTGGGCATTATTGTGCTCCTTCAGAGACAGAGAAATGGAGACACCCAAAGATGAAAGAAATCTGGCCAAGTAGAGGGACTGCTTTCCCAGGCACGAGGACATTCACATCTCATTTGCCAGCATGCTGTGCCTGACTTAGAAAGGTCTCTCCGGCTCTCAGTAACTTAATGAAAGTGACACCCTGTTGGCAGTGGGCCACCCCATCCGAGCGGACAGCACAAGCTCCAGCCTCTTCATGGTGGCGATTCTTGAGCACGGAGCAGCTATTCATTTTATTAAAAATATTCCACAGCTAAGGAGATTTATCATTTTAAAACAAAATGACAAGCTTTTTAATTGAGAAGAGTGCAGAGAAGTTGGGGGTTGGGATCGCAGTCTTGATGTGTGAAGATTTTTAGTACAGTTTTAAAAAATGAAATACAATCTTTTAAAACTTTAAAGTATGGCACTTGACCATAAAATTATCACCTACACTAAGGTACTTTTGAGCGTGAAAAGAGTGCTGCTAACATAATGAGGCACGTGCATGTTCGGTCCCCAGTCGGGGCCCGTGCGAGAGGTGCCCAGTCAACGCTTCTCTCTCACATCAGCGTTTCTCGCCTTCTCCTTCTGTGTCTCCCTTTCTCCTTCTCTAAAATCAGTAAACATGTCCTCAAGTCAGGAGTAATATAATAATAATAACAACAACAACAACAACAACAACAATAATAATAGTGTGGTATAAACCTGGAGGATTTCAGAGAACTAAGATATCATGTCACCTTTTATGAAAATGTATGTTATAAAAGATTGTGCCAAGAGTAATGATACACATTGGGTGAACTTGAATTAAATTAGATACATAAAATGAAGTAAACAAGTGAAAAATTATAATGCAGTAGACCTATATTATATATAATATAGCATCAATACCAGTAGTTACTCACTTCCAAGATTTTACTCAATATATATCATTATATTTTTTCTGAATGACTTGAAGTTAAAAGGTAAGTCATATTTGGTAAGTCATATTTATAAGACCATAGCACTTTAATAAGAGATGGGGAATTGATCTGATTATATTCTAGCAATTTTAGTATTGTATTACTACTGCCTGATAATGTAGGTTAATGAGCTTTCCATCATTAGAGGTATTCAAATGATAGGTCATTCCTAACCAGTTAGGAAGTGGGACTAAATAGCCTTCAAGATCTTTCTTCTCGATAAATGAAAATTTACTTTGTTTCAGAATGTTAAACCCTTTTGAAAAAATCACTTGTAATTCAAAATTCTTTGATCCTGTCATTTAGAAACCCACTTCTGAGTTGTTGGGTGAGAGGTAAGAGTCTGCCGTGAGACATCATGATGTTCAGGAGTTGATTCCGAGGGTCAGCAGCAGAAGTTCCTCCATGAATTCTTGGGGTTGTCAGAGGATTTCGGCTCCCCGTGGCCTGAGAGCAGTGGCTCTATGAACTCAAGTCCCTGCAAAGCCTGTTTTCTCTGCCAGGTTCTCTCAGGGCTCTCCAAACAAGAGGGAGCAAAAGATCATCCCAGATACCATGGAAATGTGCTGATGATCTCATTACACATGTCTGTGTATAGCCAAGGTGC